TTGTTAGCATCAGGCATTGTAGTCCTTCCATCTTGTTTCTTAGGCTCTCAGTGTTCATATAGAAGCATGTGGACTTTAATTCGGTTGTTTTATTTCTCTGCAGCCTTTTACAAAAAGTGGCTATCTGTTCTGGCTTTTCTTTGCCATTTCCTTCCTGTGTAAGTTTAATCAATTTCTTTGGTTTGCTTGAGAATTACAGGTCTCCCATACATTACCCCTTCTCTTAAACCATGTACCATGTTTCTTTAACCTCTTCTGGCAGAATGTTTTCCTATGACCTTTATTTGAAGGGCCAATAAACTCATTCTTTTCTGGTCTGTGTAAAGGCCAGCTACCTTCCACAAGCTCCCTCTATTCCCAAAGTTCATCCGGTTTCTTTGAATCCTCTTTTTGAGATGTTTTCTTATCTCCTTATTGAACCTCTGCTTTTCAACCTGTCTGTACCTAGTATTGGGGACACTTTCTGGGAATGCTACCGTAGCTCTCTGCTTCTTGACTAGCAACCAATATTTTGCCTCCAGAACCCATCCTATGTGCTTTCTTATGTTACTGCTATTTGCACAGATTGTGACCTTTGTGAGATCTGATGTTTTGGCATTAAGCAGAGAGGTCTGTGATCTCTGGTATTTCACATTTTGTGTTCCAGAGAAGCATTGCTACAATAGTGAGAGTTGTGAGTTTCACTAATTATTCTCAGGCAAATTTCAGTTGGAAAAATCTAGATGCAATTATTTTCTGCTAGGTAAGTGAGAAGATTAAGAACCGTATGGAGTTAACTCACTGAGGACAACCCACTGGCAAAAAGTGCTTGGCACCATAGTTAAGCAGGTATGGTCACAAGGTCACAAGGGTGTTCACAATACCTACACAGTTGGTCACCGTACTGTCACTAGCTGTTCCCACATGCCAGCTAGGACAGATCCAGCGGAGGTAAAAGAGCAGATCCTGTTGGTTTCAGCAGTGTTACTGCATTGATTCAAAATGCCAAACACATACTGGGGGATTTGACTGTACACGTTGTTCAGGACTTTGAAGTTGGGAACGTCATATGAAAGGTTTGAATGAAGTCTTATGATACCAATAGAGTGTCTCAATGTACTGAAGAATACAAAATGACCTAGATGCAGCCGCAAATCAAGAACTGCTGCTTGCTGATTATAGCAACTCGGCAGCTGTAACGCTGGGCAGAATTACCTGATCTGTATGATGTGCAGACTGCTGGTCTGATTGCTGACTTTTTGAGGAGTCAGATATCGCTTTCTGCTGACAGCCAGTTTGGACTGCACGTCAGACTCGTTAATAGAGAGAGCTGAACTTCTCAAGGCAGCAGACACCACGAAACAACTGCACACGGAGCCTAATGCAGCTATCCTTGCACTGCAAAGCCAAACACAGAACGGTGAATCAGAGGGAAAAAATCTCAGGCATGCCATTACAGAGGACCTCAGTGGAAATCAAGAGACACAAACTTCAGGAAGGTTTGATTAAGAGCACAAGTCAATCAATTCGCTGCTAGTGTCCATGAACATGCTGCACAAAGCTCAATAAAAGATTAAAACAAACAAAAAAAAGCACAAGAGGAAGCTTCTAACCAGGCAGCTAAGCAAGAAGCACAAGAGAAACTTCATGTTATGAAAGAGAAAGGATGGGCATGCGAGACAGAGGAGTTTTAATAAGTTGTGGATCCAGAAAATACCGTATGGGCTTGGAAACAGCATCTGGCCTTAAAGATGCTATGTCATTTCCAAAGTGAAGATGGACAAATAGTGATGGAATTGATGGAAAAGAAAGCCAGGATGGCTGGCCAAAACTTTTCGGTTGTTTGTCTTAAATGTTGAAGTCTGAAATGAAGCCATACAGCTCGTTTGCCAGAGCAGGGAGCGGCACCCCCTGATAAAATGGAGACTTTTGCAGCTGCCTAGCAGATGGCACACATAGTGCCGTCACTACCATGAGCCAGTCCACTAAAATCTAAAAGCAGGGGATGAGCGCCACACAGAGCCGGAAGGCTCTTGCAGCTTTTTAGCGTGATAGAGAAATATTTCTTGAGGTGTTCAAGAACCGAAACGCACTCCACCTTTATAAAGAGAAGGATGACAGCAAGTCTTATAAAAATCATTATATTTCTCATTTCTTTCAAGTTCTGGAAAAGCTTCTGCCAGAAAAATGGCCAGTTAAAGGAGGATGTCATGCCTGTTTGGTATAGAAGTCATTGAGCTAATAATCCTTGAACCATACAATTTTTTTTTTAAATACAGTCAACTTTTTTGACAAGAGATACATGAAATCTTATGTAGTTTTAATGTTTGAAGAACACTATTCACGGATTTTTAATATTTACATTTAAAATAAAAGTTTCATTGAACTCAGCAAAAGGTGATTTGAACAGTGATTTAAAATAGTAAACTGTTTGAATTAATTCCAACTAAGCACGTGGTATTTCAGCTCCCAGCAGGGCTCTGCTGTATATAGACTACTATCAAATTCCCTTAGTCGCACAGAATAAAGGAAGAAGTACCAAAAGCGAATGAGAGACCATGGGAATAGCTTTTATGCTAAAATTGGTATTTCAAGTGCTCATGTGTTTGTTTTTATAGAGTACTTTATTAAGATGTATAGCTTATATAAAACAGTTGCATGCTCTACAGCAGCTCAGCTGTTTAAAATTAAGCGGAAGGCATGCCATTATCTGGAGAAGGAAAGATGAGCAGAAGTGATTATTCACGTTTTAGGGGTGATAACAAGATTACGGCATCTTTCTTAAGAATTCATGGGCGGGGGGTCTGAAAGATTTCCAACAGTAGACTTTTTAGTTTCGCCACTAATTAAAAGCGAGAACATAGAGCTGTCAGTCAAGATCCACGGGCTGTTGGCTTAGCTGCTCTGTTGGAAAATGTCACGCTGGTATTTTAATGCCATTACCTTTTGCATGTTTTAATTTCTGAGTCTAGCAATAGAAAAGAAAGTGTGTTGTGTTTTTTGGTTTTTATTTTACTTGGAAAACGGTTAGGGAAATGGAACATTTAGCCTTCAAGATATCTCTCTTTGCATCTGCCATCCTCTTTGAACCTGCTAAGCACACCGATGCTTGCAAATGCAGATCAGGATTTTACATGTTTTTAAATGTTTTTAAATGCTTAAAGAGTTTTAAACTCCTGAAGTTACCATTTCATTGTTTTTAGTTCCTCTGAAGCACTTGAAAAATATCGTTGAAGCTTAGTTCCAAAATTAAATTGTGTCACATGGTCTGCTTTGCTTGATCTGAACTTTAACACATATTTTACATGCAGAACTGTGGAAAAATACCCCCAATACACCTCAGAGCTGTCTGGAAAGGGTTAAAGTGGCAATAACAGCTGTTCTCTCCCTCTTCCTTTTCTTCTCCCTCTCCCTCTCTCTCCTTCTCTCCTTTTTGTTTTAAAAATGTCTAATTTATATTCCATTCTACCTTTAAATTTCCCTTTCACTTTAAAATGCACACAGTGTATGGTGAGATGCAAGCAGCGTAGGACTCCAGAAATAGATTGTTTTGTAGCTAGCTGAAATTGGTGGACTTGGTGAGGTTGCATTAATTTACATATAATGAGGAGTGGATTCATTGTGATCTTTTTTTTTTTTTTCTATGTATTTGTAAACCAAAGCAAAATTATGAAATTGTGCAGCAGACAACCAGAAAAGGAGAATAAGTAGAAAAAAAATTTTCTTTTAAGTTTGTGAATCCAAACAGGGCTCAGCTAGATGTTGGGATCAGTGTATACTTGGGGGAAAAAAAAGGATATTCACTAATTAGTTGTTAGTATGGAAGCAAACATTTAGACACATTGATCCAATGTAAGAATATATATAAAAATATATGACTATATGTTTGTTCATATAGTCTAGACTGAAATCTAAATGCTGTTGATTTGTTATGAAGTAGGACATAGATATATGCTCATCCTAGAAAGTGCAAGAAATGTTTTCCGTACTGAAACGGAGAGGGATGTTGCTGGACCGCACATGGATAGTGTAACTGCTATGTTTGTAGCATGGTCAGCATTAGAGCAAATGCTGACTTATTATAGTTTAAATCCATGTTTTTCCTGAACAGCAGCTTCCTTCAGGAGCTCGCATGCTCCTCTTCAGCAAGGCAAGGGCCATATTGCCCGGGCGCGTGTGCAGGGGTCTGATTTCTCTGAGGCTGCAGCAGGAGTTGTGCAATGCCACCCGTGAGTGCAGAAGTCAGAAATTTCAGTTAAATTTTGTTGGCATCATCCAGGCCGACCTTGGTTAGAACCTTTAAAAAAAAAAAAAAATTCAGTGGCATGATGTTCACTGGAATGAATTGTAGAGGTAGGAGAGAACAAAAAATCACAAAACGCAGGGACATAGATGCGTAGCTGTTGCTGTACTAGTTGTGTGTTAAGTTTTGCCTATTAGTACAGGTTATTACTGTTCGTGGCTTCATGCAGCTCTGTACTTCTGCGGACACCGAGGTGTGTGCCTACCTTTTAAGCTCCTGAGTTTGTCTTCAGCGGGACTACCTTGAAAGCCTTTGTGTGCACATCCATTTGCAAGCTTAGCGTTTGCATTTCAGAGTTAGCGCTGTAATTTCTTGACTGTTCTGTGGCTTCCAGGCTGTTCAGTGGTGCTGAAGTAATAGTTGCTTAAATGTGTGACTTTGTAAACTGAAAAAGGAAGAAAGACCATAAAGAGACGAGGGGTGAGCGGACTTTAGTCGGCTCTCAAAAGTGGTTGCCCGGGTCCGTTGCTGCGGGCAGAAAGCAAAAGGAAAACACGGAGGAGGGAAATCCGCTGCTGTCCTTCAGTCTGTGTAGGCCCTCACCCCCAGGAAAAAAAAGAGCTTAAACATGCTGTTCCAAAGGCGCAAAAGGCAAAATGTTACTTTGTGCGTGTTATCTGGGCTGCCCTGTGCTGTGCTGGCTGAGTGTGCCGCTGGGGTTGGGGGCAGGAGGTGCAGGTGCCCCTGCTGCAGGAAGGGGGTGTTTGCAGCGTGCGGTATGCGTGTGGTCACGCTCACCGGCAAAAACCCCCGAAGGAAGGAGCGCGGGCAGGGGAAGGCGAGGGAACGTCAAAGCAAGGCTCTCCTGATAGGCGTCGGGTTGCATCGCTAACCTTTTATTAGATCTGGACAGAAGGGAGAAAAAAAAAAAAAAAGTTGAGAAATGCTGCAAGAGTAAATTTTCAGTTAGACTGTAACTGGAGCAATTCTTACCCAAAGGAAAAAACATCATGCCAAAAAGCTTTTAACTGAAATGATAAGTATTTGACTTGAGAAAACAGTAATTGATAAGATTTATTGGGGCACTAAAAAGCAACTACAAAACTAGGGAACAAAACGTTATCTCTTTGTGCTTAGAGATCTTAAAATCATCAAATAGGTAATTTCAGATTGTTCCAAAGATTTCAACAGCATGAGAGGCAGACAGGAGACGTTTCTGCATGAAGTGCAGCCTTAGCAGAGGGTTTTCCACTGTTGCAACAGTAGCGTTTGGGAGCCTGCTTTGCAGTCTGCATTGCTAGGAGTCAGGCTTTTATAATTTGTAGCAGCTGCTTGAGTGAGTAAAGATGGGATGACCAGACCTCAAGTGCTATGGCCCTTCAACCAGAGATATTTTTGAGCCAACGCAGTCATACAAAATCAAGTTTTTTTTTTTTAATGCATCTATCAATCACAATGGTTATTGATCTAATTTAAGGATAGTAATGTGGTAACTTCTGGCAATTTCTGTGTAGGTTCTGCAAATAATTTAAATATTGTTTGCTCTGAGTCTCCTGTCAGTTTGGATTCTGGTCCTTGCTCTGAGTACTGTTTGCACATTTTGAAGTAAGCGGTTGCCAGAAAAAATGCACGTGTGTAATCTAGAGCCCATCCTTCCACAAGAATACTTTAAACAGAAGCAAAATTTATGGTACCAGGTGAATTTTGCTGACACAAAAAGTAGGCTTTTGTGGACCTTCAGCCACATAGTAGATTAGGGAGGCATTTTGGGAGCTGCATTCTTAAGCGGAAAAGCCTGAATTCCCCCTGCAAGCCATGCTCATCACATAAATCTTTTGCATTCAAGGGCAGAAAGTCTGTGTTACTTCTGCAGATTGGGTTTGCCTTTTAATTCGCTTAGTCCTACAGGCCTGGTCCATTACTGCAGTATGATTTACAGTTTTCCAAATCTGCTTTAACTAATATATTTCTTAATTTAGTAAATGAAGCACCATGCAGTAGTGTAGTTAACAGTTGTTTATGAAGATAATATTCCAAATTACAGCTTCTTGCAGTGAAAGAAATCCTTTTTTGATTCATATCACTTTCGGTATTCAAAGTCATATCTTTCAGAGAGCCAGACCCAGTGTGCAGCCAGAATAGGATATCTCACTGTTGTCTCATCTTTTAAGTACCTTAGCTTTTAACTTCCTTTTCATTCTTCTCTGTTTCCAGGAAATAGAAGACCACGTGGCATTTTTAATAACTGTTCCAACAGCCCTAGCAATTTTTTTTGCTATATTTATCCTTGTCTGCGTAGAACCTGTATTTAAGAAGCTGCTTCGTGTATTTTCTCTGGTGGTCTGGGTATGTCTTGTTGCCATGGGATATCTCTTTATGTGTTTTGGAGGAGTCATCTGTCCCTGGGACCAGGTAAGACTGTCGTTAATTTTTATTTTACATCCGTTGACTAGATTTCCAAGAATCAGTCTGTGCACGAGCCGTCGCGTTAACTTTTGTGGGCCATCTCATAAAATGTTTCTGTGACTAAGTGTTTGCCTGCTAAGGTTGCCTGCCTCTATTTTAGAAATAATAAAAAGCTGCGTATATTTAGTGTCTGGCCATTTTTGAAAGGTTTTGCATAGATACCTTTAAGCTTCTTTACCTAATGAACATTTGATTCCAGTCACCGACCTCTTCTTGTAATGAACACTTGTTTCCAGTGGCGAGTTAACGTGGCAAAAGCGATGGTTTCATTCAAGAGCAACAACCCCGTCGTCTTCTGCGTCATAAGTTAGAGGTCGCAGTGTAGATGCTCTGTGGTCTTCAGGATATCCTCTAGCAATGGCAGAGAAAAAAGACTGGAGTTTTTCCTCACATTTCTAGGGAAATAAATCAACAAGCAGAGGGAAAACTGAAAAACCTTTCGCACTTTCAAAATTTTAGGAAGCAGACAGAATGAGAATAGATTCGCCTCATAAGAGCGGAGCTTTTGGAAGATCAACGACCGGTTTGTAGTATCGTAAGCTGTACGTGATTCTTCTGAGCTCTGCTATATCTCTTCCTTTTTGCGAGGTGCTCTACTTCAACGTGCTCCTATTATAATCCTGGTAAAACGCTTTTTAAATTCAGTGGGGACAAAGGTGGTTCTGGAGTTGGAAACCCTAATTTGCTTTGGTTTGGCCTAAATCTGGCACACTTTAAACCAAAAATGCCCTATAGATATATTTTTCAGATTTTGCTTTCTTATTTTCTTGTTGCAGGAGGATGAATAAAAGCTTATAAACGTATCTTATAACGTGTCTCGTGAAAACTCTGTGTTGACTATGAGTTTGGTATAACCTTTGAACTGAAGTACCCTATCCATGAACTGTCGTACCTATCCATGGTGCCTTCTGAGCCTTTAAGACAAACTTGGAACAATTACCCTGACTTGTTAGTCGGATCTTGCGAAGACTTATGCAAATATTGAACTTTAAGTGTGTAGCTAGTTCCTTTAAAAGCTTTGATTCAAATGATTTAAATTGCTAGTGCATGTTGGTAATATCAGTTTTGGAGCCCCAACCTCTGTGAGTGGCTGTTACAGTCTCATTTCCTTGGAAGGTTTTAGCCGTTGATTATCTGTGCGTCTGCCTTCCTGCTTGTTGAGTATTTGAAACTGCAAGACCAGGCCACGCTTTTGTGCGGTAAAAGGGAGAAGAATAAGCAAATCAAAACGCGTACCACTCCTTGCTAGATATAGCTTTCACCATGGGAGCCCCTGTATCTTTGTGATACTGAGTCTACTTAAGCAGACTCAGTCTTTCTTTGTGCAGTTTGTTTATTTCTGTTGCCGGCTGTATGATATTACAATGTTTTTCCAAAAGCACGTGGCATGAAGATATCCAAAAGGGATTGCACTGCATCAGCCCCCGAGTTGTATTTCGCCTGTCGAGATCATCCATCCTGCCTGGCTTCTCTCTTACGGAACCGCAGGCGTTCCCGTAACGCCGGAGCTGTGTGGCGAGTCGGGTGAAGCAGGACGGGCTGCAGAGGCGTCACGGCGTGGCCCTTGAGTACCGCGCGGCTTGAGCCATCGAGTGGCTCGCAGCACTGGGAAGGTTTCACATCCCGGAAAGATTTCTTTCTTTCTTTTTTTCCCTTTGAGTAGCAGGGCTGTTTTGATGACCGCTTTTGTACGTATACTTTAACCTACTGCCAGTTAAGAGTAAACTACAGAGATAAGGAAATCTTTCTGAAAATGTGACGTCTTGCACAGTAGGTTGATCCTAGCTTTGATGTTTTTGAACGTTTGCAACAATAAAAAGCCATGAGTAGTAAATACTGCTGAGTATTTATATAGTGTTGATGTATTGATTGCTCTACATCAATAATATGTAGGTCAATATTCTCCCCTGTAATTACACGTGAAGGTAGATCTTTAGATGCTCCTTCCTCAGTGATCACTGACAGAGATTCTTTGCTAAAGTTGTATGTTTTGTGAATCTTGAAACCATTTTGCTTGGCTTATTAGGGTCTTTTTGTTGCTGCACTATGCTTTTTACAAGAGAAAGCAAGTGTGATGCAACCTCTAAATTAGTTCCGTTTCAAATATGTCCTTTTCAAAATAGCTGATTGGAAAATGATGAAAAAGAAGAGCCCATTCTTGCATGTTTATTGAACAGGCATTTTATTTTATTTTTCTTCAAATTACAGCCTGATTTTTATTCTGTCCTGGTAGACTTTAAAAATATTCTTTTCATCATATCTTTCATGTCTTCTGAATCCTCAGCTTCTTAAAAATACAACATTTCTTAACTGCACTAGTAACTACTGACAAATAAATTTCCTACATGCCATAGTTTCTAGGAAGGACACGTTCTTTTGTCATTTGTAAAGAAACCTTCTCCCCTTAAAAGACAACGTCAAGTCCTTTAATTTTTGGCTTAATGATTTTAACCTCCCGTTTGGCTGCTTGTAACTGGTAAGCGGAAATTTTCTCTGTTGTCTGAAGGAGCCGAGTGCCAACGTTCACTGCTTTTAGTTGCATTAAAAATATCACTTCAGAGAGATTATTTTATTTATGAATTCAGTACATATTTAATGCAGAGCAGTTCCTCCCAAGCCTGCGGGCACATAGCTCAAATAGCTTTCACAGACAGTGTTTGGTCAGGGCATTGTTTTTTTGTTGGGGTCCTGTGGGCTGATGTGAAATAAGTGCAAATGGTAATTGGTTTCAGCTGTCTTTTGTTGCCTTTGTGGCCTGCATTCATCTCTCTGTATTTTCTTTTCTCTCGTTCAGCTGTAGCTACAGCTCTGGAGAGAAAGCTATTATCAGGGGTGTATCTGGCCACTTTCTGAGAGGGGAAAGCAGAGAAGCTGTAGAGTATTACTCCCCAGGGCTGGTGTGCGAGCACCACGCTGACTCCTTCGTTGCTGAGCCTGATGCGATCGCTGTGACTGTCAGGAGGCTGAGTGGGCACAGTCACAAACCCCGTTGGCAAGAGGAGCCAGAGCTTGCAGCAGATTTGCAGAGCGGCCTAGTGCCCAAGCTCCCTTAATGCTCTTTATGGACAATGAGGAAGAGCAAGTGCGTTGAGAGGGAGATGGAGAGCACCTAAATTAGGCAGTGGGTGGCTTTACACAGAAGGGGAAAAAAAAATTAGGCAGTGATGACAAGTCTCTTTGGTATCTGACAAATTCGTTTAAATAAGCATGGCAGCCCTCCCTTGCTGGTGGCAGCTCAAGTGGCAAGCTTGGCAGCAGAGCACCCTGTTTACCCTCACGGTCTGGAGAACTTGGTCCTTTTGATGGAAGCTGCATGCACAAAACTGCATTTCAGAGCAGTCTCTAGGGGGTCTGATAGAAGTGGCCCGACACCTAGCAAGGGCTGATAGGAAAGAAGGAGCATCGAAGCAGCAGCAGCTGCCTGCTGCTGGATCTTTCCAAATCTCAGCTTTGAGCAGTAACGCATGGAGATGGCTTAAGTGAAGAAAGACCCAAGGAAGATGCTTAGAAAGGTCTGGGCTGAAGTCAGTGGACGATGTCTTTGACCGAAGACCTGTAACACAAGGCAGGCAAACTGAGGAAGTATTGTTGATGGAAGACTGAAGTAGAAGATTGTAGGAAATAAATTCTTTTTTGTTGAGAGCTGAGGGTTGTAAACGGTCAAAAAAGGTTGGCACAAGATCACTTTGTTCCTCAATAGGTCAATTTGCACATGCGATGATATGTCAAAGTGGAGAAATTCTGTATCTCTGTAGCCAAGAAGAAGAGCGCTCTGTGGATTCCTTCAGCCAAAGGAAAAGGGTGATGTATTGTTTTGGTGGTGTTAGGGTTTTTTCTTAATACAGAAAGGAGACTCTTTCCTCACAAAATGTAAATCCAGTTCCTATCTGTAGAGTTATATGCCTGGGGCTGAATATAAATTAATTTCCTCTTGGTTTACTGATGGTGAGTTGCCTTTCCATGTCAGCCTCTGACACATCGAGTACTTCCTCAGCCTTTGATACAGAATGTATGTGAATGTGTCATAGCACGTTGGTATCAATGGTAAGAAGAGCTCTTTAAGCATACAGACGATGATACCAAAAAAAAGAGAGTAATTAATACAGCATTATACTAGTCTAATGAATTCTATCAATGCTGAATTTTGATATTCAACTGTATTTAATTATAAATACATTTGCACAGCCCAGGCACCAGATGTGTTCCACTTGCCTCCTCATATATATTCAGTTACAGTACAGAAACTGTTTCAAGCAAGGTTTGACATTTCTGATTCCCCCCAAATTTTTCCCAAGAGTGATGTGTTTGGAATATATGTTTGGCTATTTTAGCCTAAATGCTACTTTTTGAGCAGAATCTAAAGCGTGGTGTGGGCTTTATTTCTTTTTTTTTTTTTTTAATGTGCTGTTATAGGCAGATTAAATTCAGGCTTTGGAGCAGCACAGCTTTGCAAAGTGTAGGCAAGATTTTTGTTGTGATTATTTATAATTTTCAGTTTTCTGGTATTCTCTTGGCACCCGAGGACAGCAATCTGTCATGTGCTGAGTGATAAGGGCCGACACAGAGCAGTTTCCCTGGTCCGTCGTAGCATTTGATTGCTGTATCGGGCAGTCGGGCAACTCCTACTTGAGGTTTGCAGAGGCAGTGGGGGACATTTCCAAGGTCTGAGGTCCCCGTTTCAGAAGGTAGCCCTGTCTACGGTATGCTGGATCAGTTCATGGAAAAGGAATAATTTTTTTTGTACGGAATTACTTGAAGTCCCTTTTCTGCACTTTGCTTGGGACACGCGTTATCCAAAGTCAGCCTGATGCAAATTATTCATAAAGCATTGTGTTGTTAAGCAGTACATCCAAATTAGAGGTATCGGAAGTAGGACAGGGCAGGTGTCAGTAAAGTCGCTGCAGTGCAGGAAATTGTGGATGATGGGGACTCGGGAGCTGGAGTAT